CTATTTTGGCCCTTAATTGGCACGAAAATAGAATGTTATGTAGACGACATGGTCGTCAAGACGCAGTTCTCACAAGAGTTAATACAAGACTTAGATTCTGTTTTCCAAATTCTGCATCGATTTTGCATGAAACTAAACCCCAACAAATGTCTTCGGTGTCACATCGGGCAAGTTCCTAGGGTACATTGTCAACCGGCGCGGAATTGAGGCCAACCCGGACAAGATAAAGGCCATCCTAGATATGAGACCACTCCGGAAAGTGAAAGAAGTTCATAGGCTAAACGGCCGCATAGCCGCTCTGAGCCGCTTCATGTCCAAATCGGCAGACCGTTGTCTGCCTTTCTTTAAGGCAATCAAAGGCAAAGGGTTCGAATGGACCCGAGACTGCCAACTCGCGTTCGACGAGCTAAAGAGCTACCTCGCTACTGTGCCAACCTTGGCCAGGCTCGAGGAGGGTGAAGTCTTAGAACTGTATCTCTCGGCAAGCGACGAGGTGGTCAGTTCGGTACTAATAAAAGAAGCAGATCGGGTCCAGCGACCCGTCTACTACGTTAGTAAAATTCTGCAGGGAGCAGAGGCAAGATACCCGCAGATAGAAAAGCTAGCGTATGCACTGGTAATTGCAGCTCGGAAACTCCGCTCGTATTTCCAGGCTTACATTGTCCTGGTCTTGACCAACAAACCTCTAAGGCAAGTCTTACTTAAGCCCGAAGTTTCCGGTCGGTTAACAAAGTGGGCCATTGAGCTCAGCGAGTACGACCTCCAGTATAAGCCACGAACTGCTATTAAGGCCCAAGCCTTAGCAGATTTTATCGCCGAGTGCACGTTCAGCCTCGAAGCCCCTGTGCTGGTTGAGCCCGAGATCCCCAGTTCGGGCAAGCCCGGAGCTCCCAAGCCAATAGAGTCCGAACCCCGTGAAGTAGCAGCCAGTGTGGCATCTCTCCTGGTTAGGCCAAACGTGACCTGGGATGAGGAGCCCTGGATCCTTCACGTAGATGTCTCCTCGAATCAGCAGGGCAGCGGGGCTGGAATAGTCCTACGTGGCCCAGGTGGCACGAAATTGGAATACGCACTACGCTTTGAGTTCGCGGCATCCAACAACGAGGCGGAGTACGAGGCACTGATAGCCGGGTTGAACCTAGCGCAAAAGGTAAGAGCAAAGTACATAGTTATATGCAATGATTCTCAGCTCGTGGTCAACCAGGTTATTGGCGAATACGAAGCACGCGAGCTCACTATGATCTTATACTTGGCCAAAGTAAAGGAGGCTCTGCTCAACTTCCGGTCACACTTCATCAGGCAAATCCCGAGGTCAGAGAACACTGAGGCCGACGCCCTGTCTCAGTTAGCCAGCACGAGTCACAACACCATGAGAACCGTGTACATAGAGGACTTACCTCGGCCTAGCATTCTCGGTGTGGCAGAGGAGGTCGCTCCCGTCCTGGAAGCAGAGCCGAGCTGGATCGACCCATTCGCGAGCTTCTTGCTAGATGGATCCCTCCCTACGGACCGCAATGCAGCCAAGAGGGTGCAGCACCAAGCAGCCAAATATGTCTTAATAGACGAACGGTTGTACCAACGGTCTTACACGCTCCCTACCTGCGTTGCTTGCGACCTGCCGAAGCCGAACTCGTACTACGTGACACCCATGAAGGTCTGTGCGGCGGACACTTGGGGGGCAGAGCCCTCGCCCAAAAGGCACTTCAACAAGGATACTACTGGCCAACGATGAAGGCAAAGGCGGTCGAGCTCGTCAAGAAATGCGACAAGTGTTAGAAGCACGCCAATATCCACCATCAGCCTGCTGCCGACCTCAATCACCTCACCAGTCCATGGCCCTTTGCGCAATGGGGCATCGACCTCCTGGGGCCTTTCCCACCAGCAACAGGTGGGAGAAAGTTCCTAGTGGTGGTAGTAGATTACTTCACAAAGTGGATAGAAGCTGAACCTCTGGCAACGATCACAGCCCGAAACATACAGAACTTCTTTTGGAGGAACATAGTATGTCGCTTCGGGCTACCTCGGGTACTGATCTCCGACAACAGAAAACAGTTCGAGGATATCAAGTTCCAAGAATGGTGCCAAGATATGGGAATTCGTCAGAACTTCACATCGGTCGCACACCCGCAGGCAAACGGTCAGACAGAAGTAATGAACAGAGCCATCCTCCACGAACTGAAAGCACGACTAGACCGAGCTAAATGGTTGTGGGCGGACGAGCTACCAAGTGTTCTGTGGGCTCACTGAACTACGAAAAAAACCACCACGGGAGAGACCCCCTTTAACCTCACCTATGGCACCGAAGCGGTAATCCCAGCGGAAATCGAAATACCTACACTGCGACTAGAAACATATGACGATCAGACAAACGGAGATGAGTTACGCACCAACCTCGACCTACTGGATGAGGTAAGAGACCTCACGCACATCCGGACAACGGCTTACCAACAAAAAGTAGCTCGGTACTACAACGCTAGAGTAAAGAAGCGGAGCTTCCGCATCGATGACCTGGTTCTCCATAAGATCATGGTACCCGAACCCGGCGTGGGCAAAGCACGAGCACCGAAGGGAGGAACCGGTAGCCTGAACTCCCTACTAGGGGCCCAAACTCCCACTAGGTGCCCGAACTCCCTACTAGGGGCCCGAACTCCCACTAGGGGCCCGAACTCCCTACAAGGAGCCCGAACTCCCTACAAGGAGCCCGAACTCCCCACAAGGAGACCGAGCTCTCCCTTAGGCTCCAAGCCTTACAAACACAAAGGGCAACAACCCGAACTAGCCTGACCCATGGCAATTCGGGACACACCTCTATCCGAACTCAAGACCACCTCGCTCCCCACTCCAGCACTTCGCCTCCAGGACGCCAAACTGAACAATCGTACCACGCCTGACACCGAGGAAATCCGTATCCAGGGGCGGCGCACCTGACTGACTTGGGATCTGACACTTGACAGCCGCACTTCAACGGCCACCTGCCACCGCCACTTGCCACCGCCATCTCCAGTTGCAGAGACGGCTCCGACAAAGAGAGCAGTGGCGGTTCTGTCTCAGTAGAGGTGATGACACCCAAACTGGCAGGAGCGCAGAGAGTCATACCCAACCTGACAGAAGCTTAAGAGTGAGTGTGCGAGGTGGTTATAAAAGGCTCCCTACCCCCCAAGAACAAGGTATGTGAACTTTGCGCCATCTGATTTTATCTTGCCTTTGAGAGAATTCTAACTTGAGCTTCGGAGCAATCACACCGGGTTCCCCCCGGAGCTTCCTCATCTTCTCCGTTTCAGGTCCCCTGTAGCTCCATTCAGAGGCAAGGCCGTTGACAGTTAAGACCGGCCGGATTGTGCACGATCACTTACCATGCAGCAAATTTAGAGCTGATTTTCCACTTCTCTGAAGCCTGAACCCCTATTTAGGGGACAAGCCTCACCCAGTGATTCCTGCTATATATCAACTCTTTCTTCTTTCATGGACATCATTTAGACTTCTTTTGTTTGCATTGTAAAAAGAAGAAAACTGAACGGTTTCCATGATTCCAGCCATAGAAAATTAAAAGTCGTTTTACACTGCGGTTGCATTATATTTGGATGTGAGTAATTAAAATCTAAAAAGTGAGAAATTGTTTTTTTCTTTTTAAGTGATCAATTTTCAAATAGAGGGTTTGTCTTTTCAACTCGATCAAATCTTGCGATTTCTTTCAGTCCCTTGTCATAGATCGATGTTCATCAACTAAATGGCAAGCAAAAGAGTGGAAAATCACTGCTCTACTCATACATAGTTTACTGTGTACTATTTGGACTTGTATATTTTAATATATCCATGGCTGCTATATCTACAAATGAACAAAATGCCATTAATCTATAAATGAGGAATCTATATATTGAACTGACAACTTGTTGAGCATGAGGACATATCAGTGTTAGGTGTTAGTGTATTAAATTGGAGGGTCACAATCAAATTTTGCAGCTTCTTCACAATTATCAACTCAAGTTTTTTGTTCATAGATATGATGCAACTATTAACTCAGTTTAGTATTTAGATTTGAGAATACTAATGTTCATTGCTTCTTTGTAATATATGAGTGTGATTTGAATAAACTGATCAACAAGAATAGATCAAACAGTATTAGTTAGGTCGTTGTAGAATACATTGAGAGAGAGAGAGATTAATAAATTAATTCGTTTTGTTTATATATATAGTTCAGATTTGGACTCTTACCCATCTAGCTTAAATTGGATTTAGATCAAATTTGCATATTGATTATTGAATTGCCATTAAGAAATCAAGCTTAAAATTTGAAAAATCCCATATATTATTAATAAAGGATTAGAAATGTATATCATTAGTAAATGAATTGAGTGAAATTAAATAATTTCTATGAGGCTTGTATGGCACTGTACAAGGGCAAATCCATATTTAGGTCACCCTAAACCGGTCGACTGGATTCAAATTTATTTACCATATTCCATGGGGTTATTTCACTGCAACTTAAGGGTGCACTTTGGATTGATCATTTGTTAAGATCTTAAGGGCCCCGGCCCGAGGGTTTGCACCCCGGTGCAACCAAAAAATTTCAAATGGGGTACTCAACTCAGTTAGTCAATTTGCTGTGGCCTAGCTAGACTTAAGACAGAAGCCTCTTTTTTTTTTTTTTTTTTCTAGAAGCAAAACTTAGGATTCCTTCTTTAGACGACTATTACACCAGCAGTACTCCTTAACAATTTGGATTAGAACCATGTGAGATATCACCCCTTAGCAATATTAATTAATTTCTGTATGTTCTACTCCTAGCTTGTGATCTCTCCTCAACAACCAGCAGAGATAGAATCTTGATTGGGTTTATTTTATATAGGTGGGGTTTTCTTCAAGGTAGGCAAAGGAAGAAAAGTCATCCAGCTCTTGTTTAAAATAACCCATTTTCATTATTCCTCTGAAGATCCAATATACTTTGACCTGATGATACGAGCTAGTGAGGGGCGAGGGCTAATATAAATAGGGCATGGCATGGAGCTCCGAAGCCACAAGCACTCAACAAGTGTCGACTTAACTCTCCTCACTTCTTCTTCTATTATCCACTCAATCCCCTCTACGTCCATGGCATTTAGCAGCCTCATCACCTTATTCTCTATCTTACTCTTTTTAATGGGCATGGCCTCTGGGCAGCTATCGTCGTCGAATTTCTACGCGACGTCGTGCCCCACAGCCCTCTCCACCATTCAATCTGAAGTAAATTCTGCAGTGGCTCGTGAGCGTCGCATGGGGGCCTCATTGCTCCGTCTCCATTTTCATGACTGCTTTGTTACGGTAAGTAGTCAGTCCTATTCACCAAGCTTGCCTAGCTAATTTCTGTATCGCTTGCTAACAAATGAGACGAAGTTGGCCATAGCTATAGTTAATTTGTGTAGCTTTCATTTCAATTTATATATTTAGATCTGTTTTAATTTCTTTTTTAATGTGTTTATGTGGGGTCCCAAGTATAATAATGATCTTCTCCTCTTTGAAGAATATATAGCATTGATGATGACTATTGACAAACAATAATACTCTATGTATTGAATAGGGCTGTGACGCATCTCTTCTCTTGGATGACGATTCCACTACTGGCTTCACAGGGGAGAAGACCGCTGCTCCCAACCTAAACTCCGTGAGAGGATATGAAGTGATCGACGCCATTAAAACTAAACTGGAAACTACTGAGTGCCCTGGAGTTGTTTCTTGTGCAGACATTCTAGCAGTAGCTGCTCGCGACGCCGTCGTTGCTGTAAGCAAAAGCTCCATTTCACCATAGAAATTCCTCGAATATCTTTTAATTTATAGCAATGTTTGGCGGTTTTCTTTAGTATATGTATACATATATATTCTGACACTTTGTTTTCTTTGCAATATAATTATCCCAGTTGGGTGGCACTTCATGGACAGTGCAGTTAGGGAGAAGAGATTCAACAACTGCAAATTTTGCTCTGGCTAACAGTGGTGGCCTCCCGTTTTTTGACTCGGATCTCAGTACCCTCATAAAAAACTTCACAGACAAGGGGTTTACTGAAACTGAATTCGTTGCTCTATCAGGTAGCTAGAGCTCATGAATGGCGCTGTTTCTAATTACATGACTAAATGTTTGATGATCTGCTTAACTGTTGTCTTCTTTTTGTTTTTGAAGGAGCTCACTCAGTTGGTCTGGCCAAGTGCTTGACCTTCAGAAATCGTATCGACAACGACGCCAACATAGACTCCACATTTCATGGATTCCTAAAATCCACCTGTGATCAGGGAGGTGATGGCTTCTTCCACAATCTTGACAACACAACTGATACAACGTTCGATAATGCTTATTTCACCAACTTGTTGGACAACAAGGGTCTGCTGCACTCAGACCAAGAGCTCTTCAGTGGTGGCTCCACTGACGCTCAAGTTAGAGCTTACAGCACCAACTCTGCAGCTTTCTTTTCCGATTTTGGGAACGCCATGATCAAGATGGGGAGCCTTGACGTATCGACTGGAACTGCGGGCCAGATAAGGACGAATTGCAGAAAGGTTAACACTTAGCTGCTGAACGAACCTTTTTACTCCTCCTCCTCCATTCCATGTATTTTGGAGCAACTTTTTCGTTTCCTTGTGCTTGTCCTTTTCCTAGTTTTATATGTTAATAAAGTAAATACATCTCTATAAAACGGTAGAGAGGTGAATGTGTGATGTACGTGGTGCCGTTTAATGTGGTGACCTTTAATTTACTATCAATGGAAGCACTGTTTAGTACTCTTTTCTGTTTCAACAAATTTCATCTTCTCCAAATTCCATCAGTACGAATCCAAAAATTCAATTGAATAATTAAGGGGAAATCTAACTCAAAACCCACCCCACAAATTTTTATTTCAGTGTGCACTCTCTACCAATTTAAAACTTTTCCAACACTTCCACTATCACACCATACCCCCTCTTATATTGGTATCAATTCCCCCAGGCCTAGTTCCTTTTCGAACAAATGGGTGCAAATAAGTTGATGAGTCCCATGGAAAATGGAAAAGAAAGAAATCCATGTGTGTATTTCAGTATTAGTGGGTCCCATGAGAAATAATGGTTCGTAAGTAGTTTTGTTGCTTGGCTAAGTAATACCATTTGGAGAGATTTAAGTAAACAACTTTCTCATTCACATGGAAAATTATTAATGCATGATATGATAACATTAATTGTCCTTTTAATAATGACACTTTTATGGATAAAACCAATGATCGTATAACTTTACCTAGGAAACAAAAGAACACGGGTAAGTATCAATATTTCTCAAGAAATATTTACTCAAATAATCATGTTTACCTATATAAATGACATATTGGTTAAAGTGCCATTGTTCCCAACTATGCAATGAAGTAAAAGTTTCTAAGATAGAGAGATAAATGAGGATTCTCCTAATTTTTTAATTGCATTTAATTGGAAGCAATTGGCCATATAATATTATAATTTCTTTGCAAATCATAAGTGACATCCCAATAAAATGTTAGAAACCCAATCATGTCTTATTGGGCCTGGCTGATCTCAGGTGGGATTGGTGGAGGCTAAGAAAGGTTGGTCAAATTTTAAGCTCTGCCATTTCTGCATTTTAACTGTATTTTATGATCCAAATTAAATATAAAATAATGTACATATAAATGTCATTGGATAGCACAAATATATAAATATACATGGTTTTAAAAATAAAAGATAGCATGGATGGTTATATGTACACATTGCAATTATACACTACAATGCACATAATGAATGATACATATTGAGTTAAGGCAGATTGGGTCTAAGGTTGAAACTGCCTGAGCTCATTTCTCAACCCAAGTCCAATCTCAATTGGGATCAATGCCAAGATTTAAGCCCATACCCAGCCCAGAGCCTGAAAATCTAACCCTGATCCGTGGAAAAGTCTGTGATGAGTTCAACCAAATTACGGTCTAAAATCTAAATGGAATTAGCTGAACGCGATGCCTGTGCAGCACGGTATGGTACCAATGATAATGCCCCAGATCATCCATAAATGCCAAGTGAGAGAGTTTGGTGATTATTTTAAGAATGGTGTGAAGCGTTGTCAATGATTCCACAGCCCGCTATATAGCTATTGCGTTCAATTAATCCCATTTCATTAGTCTCATTAAACAAACAAGCACGGCATTTGGGCCTTACCTTTACAGTCAAATTTCTGCCCCAAATTCCTCCGTCATATTATAGTCATTCGAATTTTCTTACTTGAAAAAAAAAATAAAAATAGGAACCTTGGGTATGAACAATATCACCATGGTTCTAAATATTTATAGGTCATAGGTAATTGAAGTGAAATCCCAATGAATCTATACTCTATTTGATGGGAATTCAGAATCTCTCTCTTTCTCTCCTCTCTTGATTCCATTCTCGACGACCCAATACTTCATCCATTTTGTCCCAAAAATTGGATTTTGTATGAAACGGGCGGAATTTTCAAAATTTAAAACCTTGGATATCACTGAATAAAGCTTCAATATGATTCAATTTAGATTGGCCACTTTGTCCCTCCACATAGTAGTACCAAATTGGACCGTGCAGGAAAGATAATTACTTTCCTTGATTAGGTTACCATTCCAATTGGGACGTGCAGGTAGGGGTGGCCACAAGCTAAGTTTTTCATGAGCTATTCAAGTTCAGCTCGGCTCGATTTAAACTGAACTTCGAGTCGAGTTCAAGCCTGATATATATGTTCGTTTGCTAATCGAATTGAGCTCGAATAGCCAAGTATTCAACTCGGTTTGGCTCTAATCCACCCCTACATGCAGGAGCTTCCAATCAACCCGCCAATAAAGAGTTGCAAGACAAAATCAACAAGTCAGTTCAGCCATTCAGCTGTTATCAATTGACCTCTTAATATAATACTGGTTACTTGTTCACAATGGGGTGTTTGGCATGAAGGAAGCGAAAATTAACACTGGCGAGAGTATGGAAATAAACACATCCTATGGAAGTAAATGACCAGAGCCAGAGGCTTATCCATCTTGGATCTGCCTTGTACTTCTGAAGAGCCTAAATTCGGCCCATGAATGGCTTGTCTAGTTTAAGATTGGCTCTATTTCTTTAACTCAAGTTTGCTATATTAAAGCCCATTGAAGCCCAACCATACAGTCAATTAACTTGGGCTCTATATTAGCATGCTGTAAACCAAGCAGAGTACAATCCAATTGGACTCCTGTTCAGCTGATTTGAGGTAAGCTTCAAGGACCTGCCAGCTCATGTACAGCTAAGGGTTTCAAATGGGTCGGGTTCAGGGTGGGTCCAAGCATCCATAGACCTGGACCCACTGTGTGGCATGTTTACAAGTCTTAACAGGATTAAGTCCTAGCATGACAGATATGGTTCCAAATCAGGACCCGCCAAATAATAAATACTGGTTTGGCATTTAGAAACTGGGGAAATCTTATTGAAAACACTAAGATTTGTTTGGCAGTTTGAATTGGAATAAATTGAAATCCTTGGGAATCACAATTGGAATGGTCTATTCTCCCTGACTTTTGGTTCAAATGAAAATTGGAATTGGCTGGAATGGGATTCTCATTCCTAAGGGAAGGGGAGGGAATGGCCATTCCCTCAATTGGGAAAGTATCATTCCACCAGGAATGGGAAACCAAATGATTGGATTCTGATTTCAATTCCAAACTTCTATTCCCACATACCAAACGGAACGGACCCTGAAACTTGAAGTTTGCCAATTGCATGCAGTTTAGAAAAAAAGGGCAAAAGCGGTTTACATTCTCTCCTCTGGCTGCGTTTGGAAACGATGCAAATGGAGTGTAAATCTCGGTTCAGGGTAAATTTGCATTCTGGTTCACTTTTGCCTGTGTTTGGTAACATTACATTTTTGCATTGACAAATGACAGACCAATGCATTTTTACATTGATAATAAGATATAAAACTATATCAATAAAAAATAAGTAAATTTGCATTCAAGTGGAGTTTTGATAAAAAAAAAGCGTATGTTTTATTGGAATTCGTATTTGCATCCATTTCAGTTAAAAATCTATTTGGTAAGAAGATAAATTTATCAATACAAAACTGACCCAACTTTACAATTTATACGAACTATTTTATACTCTAGATATTTGCGTTGTTTTCAAACGCAACTATTCAATAAAAATTTATTTAACAATGAACATATATCAGGATGGAATGACAAAACGAAACAAAATTCATATATCTGGACCCATATAACTGGGATGAACTAAGATGATGATGATGATGATGACGACTTTATTATATTCTGAGTTGTACCCAAATTCCCAATGTATCATAAATGTATGTATCCAATATGTATGCAAATTGGACTATTGCACTGAAATATGATCGTGTCCAAATTTTGTGGCCTAAATCCTAACCATTGGGGATGAATATGTCAGGCATTTAGATACTCAACTACCATTGGGGATGCATTACCAATTTATCATGCCTTGACTTGTATGCTTTCTTTATTTCTTTTTACTTTATAAATTTTGTCTCACATTTCTCAAGAAAAAAATATTACTATGGCTTGACTTCATTGGGAGATGTTCATAAAAGACGGTGGGATGTATTGTGAGGTTTGTGTGAGGAGTGCTGTGGGAGGAGCAAATCTGGATTACTATGAGTTGCTACATAGAAGATCCTCTAGTCACTTGACTCATGATTCACAGTATTGGTTATCAGGGTGAGTGAAACACTACATACTAGGACTTAGGAGCTTTCTATAGATTTGAACATTACAAACCCCTTTGTTTTTGAAATATTAGACAAAAAATATTAAAAAAAATAAGTATCACTGTTAAAAGCTTGTGATATTCAATACTTTGAATCATGCTTAGATAACTCATTATGGGGGTGTTCGACAATGGCTGGTTTTTGAAAATAGAACCAACTGCCACACTGGAAAAACACCCCCTAAGGAGGCATCTGCCAATATACATGATTTTATTTTCAAAAACAAAAAACAATTAACATATAAACAAACAATATGAAATCAATTGTAAGTGAATATGTAATTAACTTAGGCCCTGTTTGGCAATTTTCCCGCGAGAGTGTTTCTGCTATTTCTGACGTTCCTGTAGAACAAAAACATGTTTGGCAAAAATAAAACGAAAGAAACGAGCCATTCCCGCGTGAGAACAGCACCCAAAGGACGCTCTCAAAGAACTCGTTCTCTGGGAATGTATAGTTCCCACAACGTCCCTTATTAGTTACGAATACGTATGCCACATTCTCTCGTGAGAATAGGGGCAGTTTTGTCATTCCGCTCAAAATAATAAACTCTAAAGCCATAATGTTCATTCATCATTCCTTCGACCTCATCTCTACCAATGCACAACCCCAGGGAGGTGAACGCTGAGTTGAGTTAAGGATAGTGAATGGCCAAAAACACATCACCGATGACTTTTTTCCAACCAAAACCATTTACACAGGTATGGTTGTTTTCCTTCTTATCGTTTCTTTGTTGTAGACATGTGGATGCTCTGTTTTTTTGTGCTCTGATATAGTTCTCCCAATCCTTGTTTTGAGAGAGAGAGATAACGATAGCTAACTTAAAACACTAGTAGATAACTAACTCTACATTTCTCCCAACCTGTTTTGGTTGGAGCTAGGTCTTAAATCCTAAAACGTAATTATCCTCCCAAAATTAGAAAATCTAACACTTTACAAGCAAGGTGAGATAGTGGGAATACAGCTTGACAGTCTCTACACACTCTTCTCTCAAAAAAATAATCCACTAATGACCTCCACCATTGATAGTTGAGAATGGAAATGGTAGAATATAAAAGAAAAACACTGAGAGCAAAACCGATCCACAGGAAACAGAGCATAACAAGAAACACTTGACAAAGACCAAAGGCTAAGGACTAAGCACATGCAACTAAAGACTAACACACCACGGTCCCTATACACCTAAACAAGACCAGAAACACCATTGTTGACTTTCCAACTTCATGAATATGCACCAGATATTCTAGTGTTTACAACTTATTTCTATTGTTAATTCTACTATTTTCTTACACAAATATTTCACTATTTCCAAATTCCACAAAAGTAACACCATTCATTTATCAAAACTAATAGCATTTGTTAGGAGTGGCCGAATTATTTCCATTTTATTTATTTTATATTTGTAGTTATATTGTTCACTTCTAATGTTTACCTTATATACTAGAATGATGAAAAAATTACAATTCAAAACACGGGCAAGGAATAGTTTAGTTATACAATAAAAATCCATTCTCAATGAACAAATTGTCAAACGCCTCTGTTGTTCCTGAAGAGTGAGAAATGAAACCTCGAAAACTGGAACAGGTGAAAACATTGCCAAACAGGGCCTTCGTTTCATCTTGTTCCACAAAATTTTGGTAATGGTGGAGGGATAGAGACATGGCCATTATGAAGTATGAAGGGCCCTCCAAGTTTTAGTAATCCGTGATTGCACAGTCCAGCTAGATGATCAAGCTACCCAATGGGCTCCTATATCCTAGCTACCACCCTACACAGGAACCATCTCGTGATCTCACTGAGACAGAATGATGGAAAGCCAAGGGCAGTAGCTCTAATTCAACATCCTTCGTTTCTGTCACCGACAAACTGAGAGGTTGTTCGAGCCCCTACAAACAGAGATTGGATGCCCAAGAATCTTCCACTGGTAGCCCACCAAATGCATACTATGGCATGACTTATGAGTAGACGGGATATGTGGTAACACCGTGGTTGCCAGTTTGTAAATATTTGTATTTGTACTTGTATTTAGAATATAAATATAAATACAAATATATAATATATAAAATCTTCTATTTTGTATGTATTTATATTGTACGTATTTATATTTGTACCCTTCTCAAAGTATGATTAATTATGCTAGAATCAAGGTTCAAAAAATTGTTATGTATCAACTCGTATTGGTCAATACGTATCGTATTGGCCCTTTTCCTATACGCTCCTACATGGATTTGTATTGGGTCATGGTATGGTTCAGAGGGTAATCGGCACTTAAAAAAAATAAATAAATCGTTACTTATCAGCCTGTATTGGCCCATATATATCATATCAGCCCCTTTCCTATACGCCCCTACATGGGTTGTATCGGGTTAGGGCCTAGTTCAGAGGGTAGTCAGCACTTAAACTGACCCCTCTGAACCGACTTTGAAAAATAAATAAATAAAACTTAAAATAAAAAAAAAAGGACTGACACAGGCTGATACGCCCTAGTGGCGTATCGCCCTGTATTGATACTTTGAACCTTGGCTAGAATATATGTCCTGGGCCAGTCCAAAAGTTGTCTACTAGTGGATTAATAGATTATCAAAATTAGACAAACATGGCTTAAATTATAAAACCCTTTACATTTGAGCTGCATTAGGGCCTGTGTAACCCAAGCCAAAAATTGGAGGTTTTAAAAGCACAAAATGCTGAAGCTTATTATCCAAACGTAACCTAAATTAGCCAAATATAACTATAATTATAAACCCTTTTGCCATAAAAAATATGTTGATGGAAAATGTGCTTACCAATTGTATTTGTACACTATTATGTAATGCCCTAGCAAACTGAAGCATAGGTTGTCAATTGGTCCGGTCTGGGCCGAGTCAGGGTAGACCCAGAAGTCGCATATTTTTTGGGTTAAAAGAACAAATTTTCCTAACGCTAGAAGGAGGGCTTGAACCTCCGACCTTGTGGTTAACAGCCACACGCTCTAACCAACTGAGCTATTCCAGCACGGCAATGTATCCTGTCAAGGACAAAAATATAATTGAGAAATACATTAATAGACATGCATGCCGCGACAAACGTTGTAGTATTAAAACGGGCGATAAAACCTGATTATAAAATAATTAATTAATAGACCTTTAACTTTACCCATTTCTTCAATTTTAATTATAACAAAATAAGAGCAGAAGAGAATGAAATCTCCATAAAACATTTGCAATTTTCAATTAATTAATTTTTTTTTTCCATCAACAACCATATAACCATATTCCTTAGAATCAAACTGGAGGACCCTTCCTCTTTTATGTCTCGTCCCTTATCCTCTCTCTCCATAGAAGATATCTTCTGGAATTTAGAGTTTTCCGGCCTAAAGACAAAACGGCAACTGGCACCTTATGAAAAAAAATTTGTGCATCTGCCAGGATGAGCTAGTTTAAATAGAGAGCACCCCAACCTCTCCATATGCCCTACTGAATCGAGAGAGCTTCACGTACAATCGCTGAACTCTCTTCTTCTCTTCTCTCGTCATAATTTATTCTCATGGCCTACTCCTACTTGTTCAGGAGCTTCTACTTCTCCATCCTTCTCATTCTGTTCGACGTTACCTCGGCGCAGCTATCGCCCACTTTCTACGCCACAACATGCCCTCTCGCGCTCCCCGTCATTAGCACTGCAGTGAACCTTGCGGTGGCTCAAGAGCGCCGCATGGGAGCGTCGTTGCTCCGTCTCCACTTCCATGACTGCTTTGTTAATGCAAGTTTGGTTTCACCCATCTTCCTCTCATATAGTTTATAATTAGACGGTGTTTGGCAAGTCTTTTGTGTAATCAAAGGCCAAAAAGATGAGAAGATGTGCATGGCAGGATTTCAAAACACTAAAATCGTTGAATTTTGGAAAATTTTAAATGAAATTTTCTGGTCTTTTTGCTTGATAAATAACCTTTAGATGCATCTTTAAAAGTCTGGTAGACCAAACTGCTTATCAAAGTCTCTGTCTTTGAAGATAAGATCCCAAAAGCTCAATATGCCTTTTTGGACATCTCGATTATTAGAAGATCTTTATAAAAAACTTGCCAAACGACACCTTATTAATTATCCATGCATGGTTATTGTCATCTTTGTGATTATCAACCTTCATGGGTTGGCTACGTGTGATTGCCTTCATTTCATTTTTCTCATTTTGACGGTCCCTGATCTGGTTTAACAGGGAGAAACCCCGTACTGACCAGCTTTCCGGTTTAACCTCCCAGCCGGTCTTCACAACATTGGATATGATATCCATATATAGTTATATTATATATGTGCTTAATTAATTTAGAGTCTGTGCATACTCTGAAACAGTTAGGCTATGTTTGAGAAGTTTGAAGAAAAGTTGTTAACAAATTTGTGGGTTGCTATATAAGCAGGGTTGTGATGCATCTATTCTCTTGGATGACACTCCGACCTTCACCGGAGAGAAGACAGCTCTCCCCAACGCAAACTCTGTGAGAGGGTACGAGGTGATCGATTCAATTAAAGCTCAACTGGAACTTTTGTGCCCGGGAGTAATTTCTTGTGCAGACATTCTAGCTGTAGCTGCTCGGGACGCTGTTGTTGCTGTAAGCTTATATAATTAAACTTCACTACTTCAATTCACCATCCAAACAAACATTAATAGATTTTCTTCTGATTGCTTCAAATCACCATCGAAACAAACATTGGATTTACTCGTGTTTGCCCAGTTGGGTGGTATTACATGGACGGTGCAGTTGGGCAGGAGAGATTCAACTACAGCAAGCTTAGATGTAGCTAACACTGACATCCCAAGTCCATTCTTGAATCTGGACGACCTCATTACAGCCTTTGCAAACAAGGGCTTCACTGTGAACGAACTGGTGGCTCTATCTGGTAATCCATTAACCCTCTAGGCCTCTCTTTCTAAGTTGTCATCAGTTTGAGATGGATGCTCATCGATCAACTTCTGTTCTGATATCTGGTCGATCGCCTGTGTTTGATTGTTGTTGAAGGGTCTCACACAATAGGGCAGGCTAGGTGCTTATTGTTTCGAGATCGTATCTACAAGGAGACCAATATTGACACCCAATTTGCTATAGCCCTGAGGTCGAACTGCCCAACTGCAGGAGGAGACAACAATCTCGCCAATTTTGACACCACAACTCCTACAGTGTTCGATAATGCTTATTTCACCAACTTGTTGGCCAACAAGGGGCTGTTGCACTCGGACCAGCAGCTCTTCACTGGTGGCTCCACCGATGCTCAAGTTAGAACCTACAGCATCAACTCTGCAGCTTTCTTTACGGATTTCGGGAATGCCATGATCAAGATGGGGAACCTTAGCCCCCTCACTGGCAGTAACGGCCAGATTAGGGCCAATTGCAGAAGAGTTAACTGACTCTCTCTGCTCCGGAGTCTGCTCTTTTCTCTCTATATGGGCTTGTTCTTAAGTTTTCTGGGTTCTTAGACCAATGTAAGCCAATAACACAGATCTATATATAGTGTGTCTTAATTACTTTCTTTTTTTCCCTCTCCTATGGAATAAATCCTCTTGTTCCCAGCCAAAAATAAATGGAAAAAGAAGTGTGAATCTATTATGCGTTTTGTTGCTGTATCTTGATCGATAATGGTCCAATCATTTCCAATTAAAACCTCATCTCTCTCTCTCTCTGCAGGCTGATTTCACCCTCTCCAAGATATCCCCCTCCCCCCAGTATCTCTGTCTATGCCTTATTCTGCCCACGAAGTTATAGAAATGGCAGAAATTTATTTAAAATATTTCAGATTGAAAACGTTTCCGAATTTCCACCCACTTTTACTGTGGAATGATTGGTTTTAGTTTACCAAAAATACTCTGAAGCAAATTTTTGATTCATTTACCAACAGACAACAACTCCACTTGTGATTTTTTTTGGTATAATAACTTCACCCTTGACCCTTTTTTTTCCCCAAAGTGATGGTTGGGGGATTCAATTCCGCATCAAACACTGGAACAAAGTAGCTAACACACTAACGAGTTAGCCCTCGGAATTGGTTCCATTTGTGATTCACTATCCCTTGAATTTTGATTCATTTACCCACTTGTTATTGTTTCAACTTTCAACTGAACTAAAATTTTTGGAGATGGACTGAACAATAAAATCATAGCCTTGGAGAAAGGCAGCTAATCCTATTGGGGATCAGATTGGCCGAGGAAATTAGGATGAACATGACGGTCTTAGTGCACATGGGCCCATGTGGGTCTCACACCTTATGTTTATGGAAAAGGAGATCGGCTTCCAGCAGGGCCGAGGCAATCTGGGTGAACATGACGGAGATATTCTCAATGTAAGGCAGTAAAGGCTGCTCGAATGGGCATTGCTCCGATGGAAGCCAATCTCGTGGAAAAATGGCATATTCTCTCGTGACAGGTTGCCCAGTCCAGTGTGTATGATTTTCTCTCCAGCTAATCGGAACTCATCTTTATGTAATGAAACAAGGATTCAAGGTTATGTTTGGTTTGAAGGAAAAGGTAGGGAAAGGAAGGGAAATACAAGGAAACCTATACAAGGTTTGTAAAGGTTTTCCTACATTTCCCTTCATTTCCCTATATTTTCCTTCAAACCAAACACAGCCTTAGTAGATGGGTCATTGATTGAGTACTCCATGGTTTTTAATAATTGGAGAAATTATAGATTACCACTCGTACTTTGGTGATGCACTGATGCTAAAGTTTAGCCCCCAGATTTTCATTTGAGACAAAGATCCCCTAGACTTTCAAATTCTAACACTTTGTCCCCTCTTAGTTGGATTGACAAAGGGAGCTAATTTACTAAAATATCCTTTTGAGATTCGAATGGATGAGAGAATGACATACCTTCATTGCAAGAAAGAAGAAGAAAGGAAAATACATAAAGGATTTATACATACATATATATATATATATATATATATATATATATATATATATATATATATATATATATGTAGAAGGGGCAAAATGGTTCTACAAATTAAGAAAAGGGTAATTTGGATTATATATATGTAGAAGGGGCAAAATGGTTCCACAAATTAAGAAAAGGGTAATTTGGAAGTTTAGAAATGTTTAATAAGGACGTGCCAATAACTTCCTAAGGAATGTCAATAGAGTTGGAAAAGTTGTGAAATCTGAAATTAGGGGTGAGCAAAAAACACCAAAAAACTAATCGAAATTGAACTAAAAAATTGTTTAACCAAACCGATCAATTCATTTTTGGTTCGGTGTTTTTGGTTTCGGTTAACCAATAGAACAAACCGGTGGTTAACCGAACCAACTATTATACATATATTTCTATATATTTTATATATATTTATATATATTATATATATTGTGTATATATATATATTATGTTTTTTTATATATTATAAATTAATAAATATGCATTATATATATATATATTTATAATATATTATTTATTATTTAAAATATAATATTATATACATATATATTTATAATTTTTTATTATATATATTGTAAAAACTAAAAAATCGACAATTAACCAAACTGGTCAACCGGTTAATTGACTAATTTCGATTCAGTTCCAGTTACTGATTTTCCAATGGCCAAAGTAAAAGGCCGTAATATATTGTACCAAACGTTCAATTGGTTGGGCCAATGATGGGTTTGAAAAACTGCAATAGCACATTTATGACATTTCAATCATCATTAGCCCTTAACTTTTTCATTTTTTCTTATAAATGAAAAATAGAAAAGGTCCTACCGGGAGTCGAACCCAGGTCGCTGGATTCAAAGTCCAGAGTGCTAACCACTACACCATAGAACCAGTTCATTCATCTTGTTTTCAAATTCGGTATATTTCTGACTTAAACGAAGTAGACAAAAGTTGCCACTTGGCAAACACATGAAAAGTCGTTCAATATTTCTTCTTTTGCTTATACGTTGACCGGCTACGATCTACGATGATCAACTATAAATAAATACCTATTTCCTGCTTCTCCTTTATTTTGTTCATTCTATTCCGAACGAGCTTAACGCAGCTTTGACCAAATTTATACGTAACATGATGCCCAGCTGCCCTCGGCACCATTAAAGATGCAGTCAGCATTGCAGACTTGTGGTGGCTAAAGAGCACCGCAGGGAGCCTCATTACTCCGTCTCCATTTCCATGACTGCTTTGTTAAGGAAAGTTTTCTTCTTCAATCTTTATTCCTCTACTATATATAGTTATGCATGCCTTGGGTTTGGACGGTTTGCTCTTCGTTAACACCTAATCCAATGAGGTGTTGCTGTTTATTTCTCGATCTGAATGGTATGTCATACCTATACCTTTTTCTGAAAGTTGATCATCCAATGAATTTTCCTTTTGCTTCAATACGATGCTAAATTTGTTCTTCTCTCATGTCGTGTGCCTTTATGTTTCAACAGATTATTATTGATCTCCTATACCTGTCATTTGGGCCGTTGAATGTGATTGCCACCCAAAATCAACCGTTGAATTTCAAAATATATGCAAAGGGTAGTTTGTACCATTAAATTTCAAAATATGGCACTCAAAAATAAAGGAGAGGTGCCACACCGAATCACCCATATGGCCCACTTTTTGAAGTGCCCTTCCAAACAATACAAGATAGGAAACGCTTCTCATCTGTGAGTTGACAAGTGGCATTTAACCGACAAACGCCCCCCTAAGAAACCCCAATGGAATCAAACATATTTGTCTGCTGGTTTGTACGATTGGTTTTTAAGCTGTGTGGGGAAGATGGCAGAAATTAATGTAGGCCTTAAACAGGGGATGACACTTTCACCTTCACTAGAGAGATAGAAGACAGCTTCGCCAAACATAAATTCTGTAAGACGGTTCGAGGTGATTGATAATATCAAGTCTCAACTGGAGACCCTATCCCGGAGTTGTTTCTTGTGCAGCTGGCATTCTAGCAGTAGCTGCTCGGGATTCGGTCGTCGCTGTAAGCAAAGTTTTGCTTCCTTGCGTCAATGGAAATCTAATCCTTTGTCTTCTTTGTCTATGGTTCCTGCTAAAACTTCTTCTAATGAACTTTGGTGATTTTGATTTCTCTGTACTTCTTCCCTTCATGGACAGTTTAGTTAGGCAGAAGAGATTCAACCACAGCGAGCTTAAATGATGCTAATAATGACCTCCTAGGTCCATTCTCGGATCTCAGTGCTCTTATATCTGCATTTGCAAACAAGGGTTTAGTACAAATGTAAATTTGTAGAGTGCACAACCTTGTATTTTATATTATTTTGTATATATTTATATTTATACTCCTTCCAAACTGAGCTAAGGAAATGGTGGCTTTATCTGCAGATATTGAATTAAAAAAGAAAACCAAAGAAGGTAAACGAGACCAACATCGACTCCTCATTTGCAGCATCCCTGAAGTCCAACTGTCCGATTTCCGGGGTGACAACAATCTGGCTAATCTTGACACCACAACTTCTACAGTTTTTGACAATGCTTACGCTCGGACCAACAGCTCTTCAATGGTGGGTCCACTGATTTTCAAGTGAGAGCTTACAGCATCAACTCTGCATCTTTCTTTTCTGATGTTAGCAACGCCAGAGGTGATTTGTTTAATTAGCATTTAATTTTGTTTTGGTTATACATTATTACAATGTTTTAAAAAACGATCCGGAATCAGAATCGTTCTGGCGGCCACTGATTTCTGGGTTGATAGTTTGACTATCTGGTTTAAATGAATGGTCCGTTCTGATAAAAAAAATTAAAATAAAAAATAGCTAAAACCATTGAATAGGTCAAAGACTCAATGGATCATTGACCGATTCAATGCACGATTTTTGGCCAAAAACCAGGTTTAGGGTAAAATGGAACTGATTACCTGGACGATTCCCAGGCCAAATGATCTGACTGTCCAGATCAATGGTTCAAAAGCCATCTATTGTTATCTCAAATAGATTAGTTTTTCCTTTTTTTGCCTTTTCTTCAATTTTGGTATTAGTAATATTTTAAGAGCCAGAGATCAGACAGGAGTCACAGGACCATTTTTGTTTGGTTCAACGGTTTATCTTTTGAATTGATGACCATTTGTATAGTGAACCACTCAAAAGCATCAAGCTATTTATTTTGGACCACTGACGGGTCTGAATGGTTGAAAATCCTGGTTCAGTTACGGTTTTTATATAGAACGCTGATTTCATGGCCTATATTTGGATATCATTGAAAAAGGTTATTTTGGTATGTCAATATCTTTTAGCCATGTGGAAAGTGTTTGATGTGACAAACATGCATGTAGATTATAGAGTTCTGTTGGCATGTCAATTAGCAAGTGTTTTGAGCTATTGGTAAAAGTTGCTTCTACTAACCTAACAATCTAAAGCCAAAATATTTTAAGCTCCAAAAGAGAAATGTCCCGTTGCCAAAAAAGAAAGAGAGAAATGTCCCGTTGCCAAAAAAAAAAAGAGAGAAATGTCCCGTTTAGAAGGGCTGAAGCTTTGAATGAGCTGCTTTCACTAAGCCACTTTGAAGAAGCCAGTAAACTACACTTTACCAGCATAAAACCAAATAATTTTTTGGCTGAATGACAATGCTTTCCAGGTCTTTCAGCTAACATAATGAGTTGAAGATAAGCTGGTTCAGTTGCTTTGAAATGTTTTAGATAAGCTATTCAAAGAGGCTGCCCTTTATATATATGACTTACTAACTGTCAATTTGGTTGGGTTCTCCGGATGTGTATTCACCAAACATAACTTATAGGAGCATTAGGGGTGATCATTTCAGTCCGGCCCGGAAAATTCAGGCTTGAGCCTAGGTTTTTTGTTAAGACTCGGCCTGGGCCTGGGCCTGCGTCAGGCCCACAAAATTTAGGGCCAGGCTTGGGCCTAATTTTTTAGGCCTGGCCCAGCCTGGATATTTATAAATAATATATATCTTTATGTATATATGCTATTTAAAAATATTTGATAATTGATGTTTTATATATTAAATAGAGATTTCTAGGAGATTAAAGATTTTAATCCTACGGCCATAGATCTTACCAAATTCTAATCTAGTATTTAATAAAACATAGAAATTATTAAAAAGAAATTACTAAACCCTAATCTTTTCGGCTCTCTCTCTTTCTCACCGATTCCACAAAACCATTGTCACGCCCAATCTCTCTCTCTCACCAAAGGACAAATCTTCTAGTGATGAAGACTCCGTTGAGGAAGATAAATCTGAAGTTTAGAGTGGTTGCATGTTTTGGGTAAAATTAAAACCATTTTCAATATTTTATTACTTATTTATTTACATTAATTTGAACTATTTTCTTAGTTTGCTAATATCTTTTTTATTTTTTTATTTGTAGGAGTTGAATGGAAGATGAAGCCCCTTATAGAGATGTTTAAACTTATTTTGTGGATATTACATGACAATGGGTGGTTATTTTTTTATAGATATTATAGGTTCTAGATTGATTTTTTGTTAATAAAAGAATTGGTTTGTTAAAATTATCATTTTTAGCATACTAATGACCAATTGAAACTTATAAAATACAAGGTATAATTATTTAATTTATTTTATGTTAAAAGCTTTTATCTTGATATTACGTTTAAAGTTTCTTATAGGTTAGTATAGTCTTTACAACAATAAGTGAAAAAAAAAAGTGCAGTTGTTTAATTTAGAACTGAAATACAACAATTAGGCTCAAAATCTTGGCTTAGCCCGGCCCAGGCTTATATTTTTAGGCCCATAATGTGGGCTGGGTCTAGTCTAAACCCATTGTTATGAAGATAAAGTCCGGCCTGGCCCATGATCACCCCTAGAAGCCACCACACTTCAGCGCTCCCAGACAAGCACAAAGCTTAAAATTGAGCTTTATAGTCCACTTAAATGGGCGAAAGATCTATTATTGTTTTGCTGTGTGTATCAACCAATCAGAGCATTTCATAAATGGTCTCTGATTCACAAGTGTTTCATTTCACCCGACTTTTTTTGAAACACACAAAAAAAAAAAAAAAAAACGAGATGCAAGCTGATGGGGCGTTTGTGATTTGGTTTATTACTATAATATATTATAGTGACAATTATATGATGTATTTTAAGAAACCTCTCCTTTCTCAAATCCTGGAGTTAATCATTGCAATTTTTTTTTTTTTGAACCATCAGAATGCAATTTACTAACTGATTCCATTTATTTGCTGACGTGGCATGAATGACATATCAATAAAAATGAAACGATTGTGAAACACTCCGGTGACAAACACCCTCCTGGGTAGAAACAAGTGTAATTACTTTTTGATGTAATGAATTTCTTTATACTTTCTTGGAAAAAGAAAACACTAGACTTTGTTTTATACTTTTAGCCTTTTAGAAGGACAAATCTTGTTTATCCAAACAAGTGGTGGTGGCCTGGTGGGGCACAACGAGTTTTATGGTTGACCCCCTTAACACAGTTATACAGGGCGTTTTATTGGTTACAAAATCCCTAAAACAGCCATCAAGTGTAGAAGGTTTCCCCCACATCATCCCCTTCATATGTACAGCAACTTTCAGTTCCATATATAGGATTCTGCCACTTGGCAAAGTAAGTACATTTTACCTCAAGGTGTTTTGGGGTGTGACCTGGTTCAGGGGGTACATAAGCCTTAAACCGATCCCTCTGGACCAGTTAAAAAAAAAGTAAAAAAATAAATAAATAAATAAAAGCAAACAAATGACGTATTGACCTATATCGATATTTTAAATCTTACCCCAACCTATCATTGAAATGATGAAAAGAAATAGATAAAAACGAAGGTGCAATTTGAGCGAATTCAGATTGTATTTTTATTAAAATCTGAATGGACTCGGCCTAAAGGCCTGAACCTGAAACAGTATAAAAAATATTAACTCAGGTGAATCCCAACTGCACATCTAACCCTAGATAATTGGGACCTATATTGGGTAATGACTTTTTTATGCTATTTCTTATATGTTGTGGATATGGGTTTATTATTCCTTGCCATTTCCAATCATCCCATATGGAATATTGATAGGGTCAAACTTGGCTAGCAGCTCTGTTCTATGCAGGCTCTACATGCCATGGGCCATGGACCTCAACTAATTAGGAACGGGATCGATTCCTCACACAAGGGCGCCTATCCACCGTGCATTGGAAATATCTTCAAATAATAATTTATAAATACAATAAATATTCCCAATACATGGTGGATGTACGTATAATGTCGGTGTGAAGCGCCCCGAGTGAAGAGCACATCCGGTCTCCTCAACTAATCTTTTGCAAAAAAGGCTTGGCTAACTAATCGACCATTAAATATATATATTTTCTTGGCTTGGATAAGCCCTTCTCTGTTGCCACTGTTGACCAAAATAGAACTAACCGACCCACCCACCCAAGAAAGAAAGAAAGATGATTGGGAGACCGGCCTCACTAGCTCACAAACAAACAATTAATAAGTTAAGCACCGTCTTTGGATCTTGACTTATGATGTTAATCAAATCCATAGTTGACAAATGTTGGTACATATATATATAATATTTACTACTTAATTAATTTAAATAGTAAATTTAATTGCTCATGATAAGAGAAAAAGGGTTGCACTTTTGTGATTTGCGCCATGCACTCAGTCTCCTGCCTACCCCACTTGTATTGGACTTTTTCCCCAAGTTCAGCTCTTTAGATGAAGACCTGGTCGCACTCACAGGCCGACTAACTCTGCCCTCTGGGCTCCATTATTACATGATACTGCTAATTGATGATACATCTGGCTAGCTAGCTACCTCTTCTATCCCTACCATTCCGCCGGATTGAACTCACGATCTGTCATGAGAGAGCAGCGGCCAATGGCTCTATATTCAACATTTCAACCATTTCTTCATTTTTATACCACTGAAATACAAGGTAGTGGTTGGATTTGCTGGACATGTCTCCTATCAAAATGAAAAAAAAAAAAAGATATCGGAGACCAATTAGGTTTCTTTCAATCGACTCTTTTGATTGTTGTTATTGCATGTCATGATCCTCTGAACCAACTTTAATTCAATATCAAACCAACTTTAATTCAATATACGGACCAATAGATGGACTGGGTCCAATCCAATCCAATGAATATTTTGGACTGATCCAATTCAATGTCAGACCATACAGTCTGTTCAAATTTGTCTTAATTTGAACCTGGTCCGCTGACATCTATATTCTTATCTTTTGTCAATGGGCCAGATATTGGCTCAATCCAACCCAATCCAATAAATAATTTAGACCATTAAATCTGGACTAGTCCAATTTAATGTCTTATTGGTCCATCCATCCGTCTAAATTGATATTGGTTTGAACGGGGTCCAACCCAAAACCGATCCATTAAAAAAAAACCTTTGCTAGTGTAGGGTTTTTCCACCAATCCTCATAATAATAGCTTTGATATGGAAGAACCAAAGAAAAAATCACTGAAGAAGATAATGCATACTTTAGAAAGGCCACCCATCAGCTCTAGCCCATCACATTAATTGTAGTCTGTATGTATCCCTGGTCCCCTTCTCTCCCACTCTGCAAATACAATAAAAAAGTAAAAAATAAAAAACTGAAGGAATCCACCTTCTTCCGCGTCGGACACCCGCGTGGGTGGACAATCAAACACTGAAGTTTCTCACTGAAGTTGAGAGCTGTTTGGCTTATTAGACGAGAGAAGTGGACAAAAGCCGCAACCAGCACCGCCATTGACTGTGAACACAAAAGCAAAGTCATCCACGTCAATCTCTGTAGAGTGTGTATTCTTTAACATAAGCTTCATTTAATTGTGCTCTTTTATCTCTTATTTTTTGTAGAAAGAATGGAGACTTTGACCTGCAACCACGAGTTGTTATAACTTATAAATGGAGTAGTCCATAGTGCACAAGTTCTCCACAAGTAGCCAAGCCAACGGCCAACCCAACCCCTTTATTTACTTCTTTTTTGTACGTTGTAGTTCTATCTCATCTCTCAACTTCATGGCTTCCTCTCACTTGTTCAGCAGCTTTTCCTTGACCTTACTGATTCTGATCGGGTTGGCCTCTGCACAGCTATCGCCCAACTTCTATGCTTCATCGTGCCCCAGAGCCCTTTCCATCATTAGGTCTGCAGTAAGCATTGCTGTGGCTAGAGAGCGACGCATGGGAGCCTCTTTGCTCCGGCTCCACTTCCATGATTGCTTTGTTAATGCAAGTTCTCTTCCTCCACTTCTCCATTTGTGTTGTAAACTTTTTTTTTTTTTTCTGTTTCAGTAACTTATAGTTGAACCTTCAAGTTAGAGAGCTCAGAGTTGAAACCCAGTTGAGCTAAGGGTTGAACTTCTATATTCTACCTGACCCTTGTGCTCTATCTAGAGCTATCAGGTTGAACTCAGCTCCTTACATATACCAAGTTTAAGCCTATATATAGATGGCCATCATGTGATGTGGCCTCCACCGATGAGAAGCCATTTCTGAAAGTCTGTCCTCTTCATTTCTTTGTATCCAGCTTTCTACTTTGGAGGTTGAGGATATTGGGATATTGGTAGAATGTTGTCAATACATGTCTGTGTGATACTGTGGTCATAACTCATAAAAATTACTTGGTATATATGTTAATGGGAAAGAATAGAAAAGACTGTTAATTTGACAAGAATATATCTGTCTGTGTTAAACAGGGGTGTGATGCATCTATTCTGTTGGATGATAATTCGACCTTCACTGGGGAGAAGACAGCTGCTCCTAATGCAAATTCAGTGAGAGGGTTTGATGTGGTCGATACCATTAAATCTCAACTGGAAAGCGCCTGCCCTGGAGTCGTTTCTTGTGCAGACATTCTGGCAGTAGCTGCTCGGGACTCTGTCGTTGCTGTAAGCAATATTAAACTTTTGGCTTCCCCCATTCAAACTAAATCTAAGCACATTAGTTCTATCCATGGTTCTACTCAGTAACCTCTTTCATTAATTGATGATGTCAATAGACCAATGATCTCTGTTAGTGTTGAGCCATTATTGCACCTTCACAAGCAGCTAGACTTTGAGCAAAGATCCACACTGATATATCTGTGGACTATGTACTAGCTAGAGCCTAGAGAGCAGCAAATTTACAGTAGGAGTCGTCTACAGTTCTACTCGTAATAGTTCTGGGCCCATCATGATACACCACGTCATCTCCCTACACGTGGGTCCTACGTGCCAACCTGCTGCAGCGTATCAAGACATAACGGGCCCAATATCTCTTCTCTGTTGTATTCAAATTTCAACAACATAGTTTAGAAGAGGGGGCAAGCCATTGCCATTGCAGCGAAACCCGGCCGCAGGGGTGGGCCTCAGTTCTCATGTCACACAAGGTTGTTGAGATGGGCCATGAGTATTAAGTCTCAGCCAGGCCTGACTGAGATGGGCCTGACTATTTTCACTACTGCACAGCTTTTTCCCATTGGTGTGGGGGTGACTTGATCAGGGTTATAATTTGATTCTTTCTTCTTGTCCTTACAGTTGGGTGGAAGCTCATGGACAGTGCAGTTAGGTAGAAGAGATTCAACCACAGCAAGCTTAAATGCAGCTAATAACAACCTCCCATCTCCATTCTCGGATCTCAGTGCTCTGCTATCTGCCTTCTCAAACAAGGGCTTTACTGCTAAAGAATTGGTGGCTTTATCAGGTAACCCATTGATTTTCTTTGCACTGCTAGTCCGCAACTCATTCTTATGAGCACTATGTGTTAACTAAATGGCCAAAATGAACTGAACTCTGTTCCTTGGTTCCTGGGTATCCTTTCATTGTTAAAGGATCTCACACAATAGGTCAGGCCAGGTGCACAATATTTCGGTCCCGTATCTACAATGAGACCAACATTAACTCTGCATATGCGACATCGCTGAAGGCAAACTGTCCAAGCTCAGGAGGCGACAACAATCTTGCTGGGCTTGATGCCTCCACTTCTACAGTTTTTGATAACGCTTACTTCACTAACTTGTTGAACAACAGAGGCCTGTTACACTCGGACCAACAGCTCTTCAGTGGTGGCTCCACTGATGCTCAAGTCAGAGCTTACAGCTCCAACTCTGCAACTTTCCTATCTGATTTTGGCAACGCCATGATCAAGATGGGGAACCTTAGCCCACTGACCGGCACCAGCGGCCAGATCCGAAACAATTGCAGGAAGGTCAACTGATTAAGTCAGTTCTTCTGCTACAAGGTTGGCTCTCTTTTGGGTTATATTATCTAAGTATGTAAGCCAATAAAACCAGCCTACTCTACAAAAGATAAAGAGTTGTTGGATCACCAAAATTGTCTACAAGGATGTGTGTGTGTGTGTGTTTTGCTTCATGCCTCCAAGGAAGTGTTTCCCTCAAAGAATTTTGTCTACTGGATTGATGTGAGTGGTTATTATGTAACTCAAAGAGTTAATTATCAAGAATATTGGCTACCCTCTGTGTAGTAGTGGAAAGCAATTGTTGAATCTTATCACTTTGTTTTGCGACATATGTATGCAAGTGGTTTGCTTTGTTGGGTGGTTCAGTCATTAGTGAGCTTCCTGAACAACCCAACAATAAATTTTCCATTTGGCAAATTAGTTCGAACTCTAAAGGATTACCATGATCATCTTCTCTCTTTCTCTCTCTATGTTCATGGCACAAATTTCAACACAAAGGACCAAAGGAGTACTACTTTTAATGGGAAATTTTCATATTAAAGAATTTAAATGCATATTAATTAACAACCACTGATACAAAAAGTGAGGTTTAGGCCTTAGGGTTGATGTAGACCTAAGGCTCCATTTGCTTGCAGTTGAAATTTCATTTGCATTGGTGTACATAGATGGGATGCAAATAGGCTAAATATAGATTATTGCTTTTGGTTTGAATTTGACTTTGTATTACTTAATTTGTGAGAAGTAAGATGACGTAGTCCCCGCTTTATATGAAAGGTAATAAAGGTAGGAGGAGGATTATTTGTTTGGGACAATAAGATAGGAAGCAAGATAATGTGATCCCCACTTTTTATATGAAAAATAATTGAGATAAGAGGAAGGCTATATAAATTTTGCATCAGTTCTTGAGGCTGTGTTTCGTTGCAGTGCAATTTTATTTGCACTAGTACAAAGGCATGGGAGTGCAAATGAAGAAAATGCAAATTTTCATTTAATTTTATTTTGGGTTTTACTTTATTTTGCTTCATGCCTAAATTTATTTCATTTGTACTACAATCAAACAAAATAAGATAAAATTTGAAACAAAAATAGGTCAGAAATTACATTCAAATAATTTGCACTACTATAGTTTTACATCGATGCAAATCTATTTGCATCTCCTTAAAAGCCATAGCTTCAACTAACTCTAGGTCGGCCTTATCAACATTAACAAGCCCGAGCTATATCCATCTACATTAATTTTAACCATGGGTGTTGCGGGGGTTGTTGTGTAAGACCTTGAAGAAGAGAAGATGAATTCGTAGAAGGCAAGGGTCCCGGAGACAATAGATCATGTATAGCCCAGTAATGAGCCAACTGAACATTGGAGCTCTTGGACTAAAGCAACAACCCTCAACAAGTTTCTTGCACCAACCCAAGTCCATAATATATAAATTATGACATATATTTCCTATATATTATATGTTAATATAATATAAAATATTATAGATATTAAATACAATGTTCTTAATGTTATAGGCCCAAAGCCCTGTTCAAGCCCATAGGCTATAGCCCTTATCATTGGTGCTAAACCCAATCTAGCCCAAAGATAAAAACATTATATTAGCTAGGAAAACAGATTACCTAGTCCTTTACATCTGCTGTATCTGGAGGATAATGATTCAACAGAAGTGATCCTGCATAATATTTTTGCTCAATCGTGCAGCCTAATGTGCAGGAACATTGAAACTCCGACTTATAACCATGAGTTCTGTAGACTGAAAAGAGTGAAATAAGTTTTTGGTCTCCAAGTCCAATGGTTGATTGGACCCGTCAGGGACCCCTTTGTACATGCCACATCAACCTTATCCCCCAGATTGTGTGTTGAAGTTTTTTTTTTTCTTTCTCTTTCCTTGGAGTGATAAATCTGTCTAGAATTTTATTTTTTTTTTCAAATTAAAGAAAAGAAAACGTTGAGGAAGGCCGATGGGCAATTTGATAGTATGTATTTGCAAAGGAAGCTTATTATAATTTATGAAAAATAGGAGAACTGTATTACCGGCCAATCAGATGATAAATCTCTTAAGGCTGCATTTGGCATTTCTTATTTTAAGGACTTATCTCTGTTTCGTAGTTAGAAATTCTGTTGCAAACACAAAAGCAGTAGACACACTCATAGGTAGCAGCACGCACTGCCCGGCAGCGTGCAGCACGCATCGTGCGGCAGCAATACTAGGCAGCAGCACGCACCACACGGCAGCAGCAATAAGGGGGGCCCACACGACAGCTCACCAGGGGCCCACTTACCTTGCCACTCTAGCCAATTCGCCGCCAGCTGCATTATCCCTCATCCCTTATCCTTATCTTATCTTATCTTCTTAGTAAGAGTTATGTTGCCACTAGAAGTAGGAATTGTGTTACCATTACAAGTAGGTAATTTATTTAGAAGTAGAAATTTGAGTTTGATAGGGATTACCCTAGCTTAGTCGAATCCAACAAGGAACCCCCTTTTGTAATCTCCTATTTAAGGAGCTATGAGTTGAAATAAAGGCATTCAGTTTTCCAGTCAAGAAAGAGAGTGAGGAGAGTTCGGGTGGTCTCTTGGACAAATCACCCATTCGGAGAGTTCGGGTGGTCTCTTGGACAAATCACCCATTCGGTTTCCCACAATAGGGTCTGCACGCAAGGGAAGGCACAAGGGAAAGCAGGGCTTTCTCCCTGTGGACCAACCCGTGACGAGATCCTACGCCCGCGCCCATAACAAATTCAATGTTCATAGAGGCATTTTAACTGCAAAAAGGAGATAAGTCCTTAAAATAAGGAATGCCAAATGCAGCCTAAACATATTTGAGAACTAAATTACAATATTTTTGTGGATGCTTATAAAAGGTTGAGTTTGTGAAGCATATTTTCTGATTTTGTCAAGTTATGGCAGTTATTTTGATGTAAAACAAGTTGCTCCTTAAATAAAAATGTAGAACAAGTTGTTGGTCAAAGGTTTATGGAAGCCAAAAAGAAAAAGAGGCTAAAATAGGCATTGGAACTTCAACGGCTATAATTTTTTATCAAGGCATTCATTTTTTACATATTATATGTCAAAACAATCATTTTAACGTTGGCAAATCCTTTGTATTCATTTACATTTTTCAGGCCCAAATTCCCTTGTTCTTTTGCTTACAAATATTTTTTTTTTCTAAAAGCTTTCCCTTTATATGAGATTGTATATCTTTATTGCTTTAGCATATTTTAATTCCTGAGTTTGATTAGTAATTCTTTTTTTTTTTCAATAGAATAAGATGTTTTGAAAAGTTTGAATCCGATTAGGAGTTTTACTATTTTTAGTAATCTAACTATTTGTTAAGCTTTTCCCATAAATAGAGCATTTGTGCAAGCCCAAATTCAATGAATTGAACAAAATTTTCTTTTGCTTTTCTCTTCCCTTCTTCTCCTTGTGGATCGATGGGCCAGATAAAGCCTAAGGTGGCGGCCAATGTCTAACAAAACCAAAGGTTATAAAAAGGGCGGGATGTTTTACAATCACTGAGCCGGTGGTCATATGGCACCTAAGGCAGCGGTTTGGACCGCCATCTTAACCAGGCTAAGCTAGCGGTCATGGAAAAACCGCCACTTTTGATAACTTTGAACCGCCTCGGACCAGGAAGCAAAGGTGGCGGTCTTGATCTAAGGCGACACCGGCTTAGGCAGCGGGCATATGATCACCAACTTATATCTAAGCTAGTGGTCTTTAGGCCTATGCCGGCGGTTTTGAGACTACCAGCTTAGTCCATTTTTCTTGTAGTGATCCTAGGCTTTCTCTTTAGGAGAAGTTGTTGAAACCTCCCCTAAAGCTTTTGACCATTGCTGAAACCTCCCCCAAAGTTTGGTAATTGCAATTACATCCCCTCAACTTTTTGACACAACTGCAAATAGACCCCCTTTGTTGAGATCCTCTAACAAGAGGCATAAAAATGTCCAAAATAGCCATGCTATTACTATTGAGGCTGGTTTCTACAAAACAAAAAATAGAAAATCAAACTTTATAAACAACAAAAAAAAAGGTTGCAACTTTACCTCTGAGCAATTGATATGAAGGGAATTTTTGGAAAACAAATCAATTGCAGAAAAGAGACTGGAAGGGTTTGGGCCAGCGACTCATATGAAGAGAAAATTTGAAAAGTAAATATTTTGGTCAAAAGTAATTGCCTAGGTATTTTGGGTATTTTCGTGCCTCTTTTTAAAGTATTCTAATAGAGGGGATCTACTTGCAATTATGTCAAAAAGGTTCAAGGGAGGTTTCAACAATTTATCCTTTTCTTTAAGATGATAGTGTACCGTTCTACATGTGCTTCCCACTATGTCATGTTTTGTCTAACTCAATTTGGATTATCAGGGTTACAAACTTTCCTCATTATTCATTAGTGGGTATTTTTGTACGAGTTATACAAAGCTTACAAGTAAATGGGGTGATGATTAGGATTTTTTTGCTATTTCTTTTTATTATATTTTTTATGGTTAGGAATTCACAAGATTTTCAAGGGAAAATATAATATCTATTTTGGATTATGCCTCGTTGTAATGGAGAAACTAATGATTTTGATGTTTTTTGTGGATGAAAAATCCTTGGAGTGCAGTTTGGAAATTCCCTCCATTAGGTATTTTTGTAAACTAGTAAGTAGCATGTGGCAATTCTGAATGATGATAATGATAATAATAATGTATCTAAATTTTTCTATAAAATTAATGTATTTTTTATTTTATATATTTTTTTGTTTTTTATTATTAATCGGATGCATATTGCAAAATCCAAATCCAATTACGTAAACATCTGGGTATCACTAACAAGTCCACCATATTGGTTTGACTTTTCTTTTTGTAATGTTTTATCTTCTTAGTGCATCATTTTTTGTTCATTTATAAAAAAAAAATGTAAGATTTAAAAAGAGGGAATTGGATGGGGTGAAAAGTTGTAGCTCAAATTGCATTTTAAACCTCAAAATTAAATAGGAATTAAATTCAAAAAATGGGTATTTTAGTCAAAAGAAAGTTTCACAATCTTATTCATATTTTTAATAGTAATGTAAATATAGAATTATAAATGTATTCAATTTTTTCTATAATTTTTAATTTCTATGTGTGTAAAAATAATTTTGTTATTTATACTAGTTTTTTTTGTAAAACTTATGTACTTTTTTCATTTGTGTGTTTTGTATTTTATTAATTGTTATTAATTAATTTTGACATTAAAGGTTAATGCATTTGACCCAAAAGTTGAACTATTGATTTCCACCAAACAGGAAAACAATTTCATTTTTTGTTAGTTTTAGATTATGTATTTCATTTTCATCATTAATAA